GTGGCTTATCTTCTATGAGTAGAAATGAAAAACTTTCTGTTCAAACATTCAAATCCAACTGTAGCGCTATTCACCGGCCACTAGTTCCCTGGGTGCAGTCGTGGCATCAGTAACTGTCTGTTCTGACACCAGTTTTCGCCCTCTAGTAAACCGAACTGCTCATGACCTATGGTACATCGCTGGTGTCCCCCATACTTTTACCTTTACCTTTACTTCTCTAGCAGTTCTTCAAAAGTTTTAAGAAACTGGATGGATCTCTATCCATCCAGTTTCTTAAAACTTTTGAATTCAGCCTCTTAATTAAAGAGCGCCTTTACGTGGCTTGTTATAGATTCTAAACTCAAGATGAGCGGCGGCTGCGTTCCACTGATGAAGATAAAACAACTTATGCGCGCACTGAGGCAAAGTGAGACGCATGTTGAGCTCGGCTAACATTTGGAACATCCTTCGGTGCTTTTCTCTTATCTTTATAGACTGAATTACTTCATGCTGCTGTCGTTTACGTAATTCAGCATTTGCATTTTCAATTTTTTTCCTGTGTTTCATGCAAATTTTCTGTTGTGTAGACTAGAACAGTGCCACATATTCCCCTATCAGAAACATTTGAAATTAATTTTTTTCATGGAATCTTTTCCTCCGTGTCATCATTAATTCCCCTACTGAACTTGGTGGCCATTCCACCAGATAGATCAGAAGGATACAGATGGCTCTGAATAATGTCAGTAAACAAACGAGGGGACACCCAGTAGATTTTTATATTAATAAACAGAATGTTTCATATTACATCCCAGAACTTTAAAGAGAAGACAAATTGCTATGGAGATCATAAAAATTGAAAAAAATATATATATAAGGATTAATAAGCAGAATGACCTTAGAACTTTAAGGGAAAGACCGACTGCTATGGAGGTCATCCCAAATGACTTCCATCATTATCTTCTTTGTGATATACATAGAAACACATATTATCATTCTGTGGAAATATTACGAAACAGAAAACTTAGGTCTTTTTAATTTAAAAAATGAACTACAATAATAATTGTATTCATAGACGATGAATGAATTAAATAAACCAAGTTTATTAATTAAATATGATAAAAATTAAACAAATTGCATTCCTATGATAAATAAAGAATACTATATTATTTACTTTTATTATTAAAATACTTTCTTTCAGATCATCAAGAACTTAATTATACATGGCTCATAAAGCATAAAAATAATTCTCCTTTAAACAGAACTAATTTATTATGAATATATTTCTAATATTTGTGTGTGTTTTGTGTGTAGGATAAAAATATGCAAATCAGCTTTATAATTTAATTTAGTAATAACCTTTTAATTCATCTTTTTTAATTTGGTTATTTCCTCTTTATTCTTAAAAAAAAAGAAAAAAAATTCTGGACCTCGACATTTCTAGATTAATCTATGCCACAAAGCTTGCGTTACGCTGATGACGTAGTTAGTTGGGAACCTAAACTCTGAGAACTTAAATCTTTCAAACTTAAACCAAAACCTTTCTCTTAACAGACTGCCATACTGGATTAAATGCTTACTTCACTTGTATCTCTGTTGCTGCTTGGATGCCATTTCATTTCGCTGTATTCTCTTCCTATCAGAATGGTATTAAAAAACGTATATGTTCTGAAAATAGGCACAATTAGAGTGCCGAATGAACTGTGACTATAAATCTTAATTTAAATAAAAATGGAATGACTGCCTCAGCTGCCAGTTTCCTATTCATCGCATATCGGCATTTCAGCATTCTATGACATCAAAATTCTTGCTGTTCATTAAGGATTCAACTGTCTGTGTTCTGCACCATGCAAAGTCACTTTATTTATTACACACAAACACACATATATACTGAAGAGGCAATATACAGCATCCTCAGTGTTAAATATTTTGCATAATCGCCTGTAGTAACGGCAACCGCCGTCAATAAAAGGAGGTGCTTTCCTTGGTAGCGGCGCAGTTCATTTTCAGTTCGAGCTAGAGTAGACCTGCCCGGGGAAGAAGCCAGGGAATGATAGGTTCCGGTTTCAGTCCTGTTCCGTTTCTCGTCCTGTTCCGGTTCCCATCCTGTACCGGTTCCTGTCCTATTCCGGTTCTCGTCCTGTTCTGGTTCCCATCCTGTTCCGGTTCCCGTCCTGTTCAGGTCCTGATCCAGTCCTGTTCCAGTTCCAGTCCGGCCGTTTAAGTCCAAAACACGTAGGAGCTGAAGCCTGAATCTAGCGAAACTAAAATGAAGATACATGCTGAAAGGGCTAGATGGATTTTGTCCTTTTAAAGAAAGTGTTCTTCACCGTGCCGGAATAGCTGACACTTTAAAGCATTTTGAATGTTTCCACCTAAGATGTTAAGTTTTCGTTTATGATGTTAAGTTTTTCATCATTTTTGAAGTTCCAGTTGAATAAACCTTTAAGTTTTAGACAAGGTCTTGTGTTCTTTAGAAATTTTAGATTCGAAGTCAGATATATAACATAGGATTTAACGGGGAAAATCAAAACTCAGTGTTGTAACAGTTCGAAGCAAAATTTTCAGATTTCATTTATTTCTGAATAATTGCTCCTGTGCAAAATAAAAATGATGTTTTAACCCTCAAGCCAGTTGTGATTTTCACATCAGTTGTCATCTAAGCAACAACAGTCTTCTCGGTCATGACAAGAGTGAATTGGTGCATTCCCTAATCGAGCTATCATTTAATATCAAATTATTAGCAACGAACTACATAATCATCACAGTTCATTTGACAGGATCTCAAGTGCAGGTATTCCAATGGAAATTCTGTAGAATTAGTGTGCTAATCAACAAAATTATTTCATCAGAATTTTGAACTGTGCTACAAACCTCAATGGGATTTATTCCCCAACTGGATTTCGATAAAATATCTACAAAATTTGAATAAAGGTGCCTGTTTATTTGCAAGTCCAAAAGTTCTAATGTCTAGTGAAAATGCAGTATAGAATTTATTTTGATCATCTCTTTAATATTTAAAAGAAAAAAAGAAACAAAAAAATCCTGCATCATTTTAACTATGGACTCCCACTGTTTTTCATGGTCATTAATCACTGTTTATAGAAAGTGCTTCGAGTATGTGCACCAGAAAATTACTATTTGTACTTCCGATTTTCCTAATAGCATTTCCTCAGTCGAAAATTCAAAATTATTATCTTAGGTGAACATACTAAGGTTCATTTTCCAATGAAACAAAGTTATATGTGGAAATTCTATATTTTACATCTATATCTTGTTTAAAATTTCTCCAACTTGATTGCTCTGTTTTGCAAAAACATGAAATTATTGTTCAAGGAATGAAAGCATAACAATTCCATACTTTTTTTAATGGTTGAATAAATGAATTTTGTGAATATTTTTAATGTTATAATAATGCTTTTTAGTGTTCTTATAATAGTTTATACTTAATATTTGTCTTGGTCATGAAACAGATAATTTGATCATTCATAAATGTAACTAAAAATTATTTAAACAATAGAAAAACTAATAATAATTATTATTTTGAGATTTGTACACATAATGGTGTTTTTTCTCATGCTGCATTAAAAGCATCACATTGCTTTATGAAAAATGAAAGATTAAAAATCATATGGTATTCTACATTTGAATTTTGCTAATTTGGTTTAAAAATTGAAGAATTTTAAGATTTCATTTAGGGGAGTTTATTATCATGATTAACGTATTTTTGCATTATTGTTTAAATAGCTCTGAATTAATATTTTAAATTTTTTTAATTATTTTAACAATGAAATTATTGTTTAAAAATTTGAATTCTAAGAATTTTCTAATTAAGAATGAAATATAAACTATATAAGACTCACACGTCACAGTTTTTTCATATGTCATAATTATTTTTATAATAGGATGAAATTCAATTTCTTTTTATAAATAGAATATTTTAGTGCAGTTCAAAAAGGTCAGTTGTCTTTAAACGAGAAACAGGGGCTTTTTGAAAGTAACAGTCACGAACACCCCATTAACTCTTGGTGATAATTCATACATCTATTTGTCAATGGTGATTTGCCCATAAGGTGGATATGTTAGTATTCAGAGAAAGCTGTGGAGGTTTTTAGTTTTAATTTGAAATATCCTATAGATTGCTTTTAAGAAGTCTGGGAAACTGTAGCAAATTAAAATATTAAAAGAGAATAAAACTGCTTTTTTCACTTATATAATTAAATAAAGCAAAGCTTGCAACAGCTATCTTGCAAAGAGAAGGGATGTCTTTGTGAAAGATCTCTTCAAGGATATGCAGATAATACTAGGAAAAAATAATTTTATCTTCTTGTATAAATGAAGATAATACAAGAAAAAAGATCATTAATATGCTAACACATTACAAAGATTTGGATTACCAGTATTCGGTAAATTTAGCTACAAGTGAGAAAAAAGCTCTGCGAGTTAGCACTACATTAAATAACTATTTAAATAAACCATATGAATTTTTAAAAGATTTAGTTCCTTATATATTTTAATCAGAAAACCACATTTTAAAATAAAACTCTCCTCTCAATTTTTTCTCCACAACCAAATATTCCTTTTGAGAGGCATAAAAATTAGCTTTATCATCTTAATTATTATTAATCTATTCAAGGTAATTAAATTTTCATTATTTAAAATTTAGTTTCACTTGAATTAACCATATCTTAACCTGGTTTTGCTTAAAAATAATAAGACACAAAATACAGTATTCCTTAATCTCAGTACTTATTCATTTTTGTATTCTATTTTATAAGCTTATAATTTTAATATCTCCATTATGTTTTGATTGTAATAAACACACACTTTTGTATTATATAAAGTTATGAAATTTTTCCAAATCTCAAGGTCTATTTTGCCTGATTTATGACAAATACAGAATAGAAGAATTCTAATCACCATATCAAAATTTGAAGGGGAAAATCAAAAGACCAAACTAAACAATGAAATTATATTAAAAGAACTTGCTCCCAGTATTTGAAATAAAAGATCCTAAAACTTACCAGTTATATGCCAAGTGTTTCTTGCGATTTTTATCCAAGAAATCCCTGTAAAATAATGACATTTCTTCTGTCATCAATGGCCGATCTTCCTCAAGTTTCCTTTCCTTTGATAATTTATCAATGTATGCTTTTTTGGACTGAAATTAGATTCACAACCATTAGAGAAAGGGAAAAAAAACTTTTGCACAATTTTAGAGACAATTTTTGTAGTAATTTTTTTACAAGCTACCATTCATAAATCTAAAAATCCTCTGACATTTATTCTAAAAATAATAACAATATATAAATATTATTAAAATGAAGAAAAATAGAAAATTTTTCAGATCACCAAAACCCTCATGAAAAGCCATTGGTTGTCAACCTTACTAGTTGGTTAAAAAACATTGTTGGCTATTTTTATGGTTCATAAATAAAAATAAAAAGGAGCATTTTATAAGAGAGAAGAAACTTTGTGATAAAAAAAAAAATCTTTATGGACAATATTTACATTTTTACAGCCACCAGATGCAAAAAGAAATCTATTTGGATGTTTTTCATTATAGAACAACAAGCACCAAATAATTTTCACTAAAGAGATATGTATGTCAACATTGCCTATTGGCCACTGTTAATTGAGATGCGTTGTTCTGATCTACTACAGTAGTGTTCTTGTTTTCAAACTGGAAGTTTTGACAATAAAAAGGCCTTTAAAGCTTGTTACTCTATTTCATTACTTTTTTTAACTGAAATAGATAACTTAAAGAGATATTTTTTATATTTGGAAGATTTTTTACCAGAGTCAAAAGATGCTGATGATAAAAGTACCTTTTCTTGACAAAAGCATCAAGTTGGCATGCACATCTTTATCTCATCCCCTCAAATTCAGTCATTTCAACTTCATATAAAGCAAATTTTTGTATTCTCTTCAATTTTTTCCCTCGTCCGGTGATAAACTTAATTATAATTTATGATAATCAAAACAAATACACTTGAAAGAGGAACATTGATCAGTAAAATGACAGATCTCTGTAACATCTTTGTATAAGTGGGAAGAGAGAAAGCATGTTCTATTTGATTTAGCTCATTACTTTATGCAGGCTATTACTATTATTGTTATCTTATGCAAATTAAAGTGATATATAGATTGGTCAAAAACGCTTTCTACAGTACTCTTGCATGTATAAACTGCACCAAATTGAACATAAGGATGACGAGGATAGCCAATCATCTACCATAATTTTTCATTTAGAGGTGCGAAAGTAGTTAAAATGAACACAATATTTATCACACATTGTGAAAAAATTTTTATTACTGGTCAAAAGGAACATGTTCTGTATTAGCACCTCTTATTCGCTGCCATTGTCAGTATCACAACAATAGTTATTTGCACCTACTAGTATCAATATCACTGGTAGTGCAAATAACAATTCACAATAACGGATTTTATACTCAGTTGTTAAATACACACTACTGTCTTGCATGCACTGCTGTATTACCACATGTTTATATGTATCCATTTGTATTCATTATATGTATCATTTGAGCGCATAATCCACATCCCTTATTTCCATATGCTCTCTTGGGGAAAAGTGTATGGCTTACACATGAGAGAATATTCTGGAGCTGTAGCAGGATCTGAAAAGTGAACGAATTTTCAGTGCTTGCTTTCTGTAGCAACTTTTGGTTAAGAAAAAGGCAGTGGCATAATCCAGGCTTAAGAAGGGGTGATTTCAAAACAGATAAAACAGCAACATTATTTTGGAATAAATTTTGAACACTACAAAAGACAAATTCGAGACGTCAATGTGCCAATCAGCAATTAATTAACAGATAGTGAAATCTGTAGAATGGTTTGAAATCCAGAAAATATCACTACCAACAGTTACAAAAGCAAAAAGATTTTTTTAAATGAAAAAATTTCGATTCGTAGTGTAGCAGAAATTTTCAACATGACAATTACAGCACTTTGTTGATGACCAAGAATTAAAGAGAGAGAATTAGCATATAAGATCAGCGAGCTTAAAAAACTGGCATTTATGTATTCATGTAACCACCTTTATGCAATTTGGCAAATTTTTACAGATGAAAATGTAAAAGTAACTTATCAGGTGCAAGTTGGTGGTTTTCGTACCTTTTCTATGGGAAGATTCTTAAATGATTGATATTTATCGCAAGTCAGTAAACATTACTAACATATGAAAAGAAAACATGCTTTAGCAATTTAAAATATAAATCTGAATTATTAAATCAGGATTACATAATACATTAAAAAATAAAACATTCTTCTTCAAATCTTTCAGCACTTTTTTTTTTTTTTTTGGCACTATTCTTTTCCCAAAGTACACAGCCATCTAATTTTGCTTTTAAAAAAATCAGAGATTTATGGAGACTCGGATTCATGTAATACTCTGCAACAGCAGCTATCGTGGAAACAGATTTCCTTGTTCCCTTTAGAAAATTTTCAGCAAAATTCTGTATTCTTCCAGAAATTTTACTGCAATTTCTCCCATTGCTGGCAAATTGCACAAGCTCATATTTTAAAACTAAATTTTAGGCAAAAGATATCATGATTTGTTTATAAAAAACCATTGGAATTTAGGATGCAACAAAAAATAATTCATAAAAAAATGGCAGTGTTGCTTGACTAAAGGACTGTTATCAGCACGGTCGACAAAAGAATGGTTATGTGCATGGTTGCCAAAGTTTTGCATATTCTAAAAATTTGGTGACTTCTACTAAGGTGGTTGTGTTAACACATATCATAAAACTTACATTGAAAGAAATGTTTAATACAACAAATAAATATTGAGCCTTTTTCTATAAATATTGATTCCCTTAAAATCATAAATGGTTCATTATTTTGCAAAAGCTATTTTATATTTTTAATTTTATAATATCTAAATGACATATTACTTGATTTAAACTAATGATCTAAAATTTTAAATTTCTCAATCTCAAATCTGATAACACCAGAAGTCCCAGTGAGGCTGGATCTCAGGCATCTTTCCTTTAGTTAAAATGTAATTCTTGTCAAGAATTATACACACCATTTTCAGTTCCACAACTTTATAATATTTTGTTACCCCCTTTTTTTTAAATTTCTCTTTATTACCAAAAAATTTAACTTCACCGTTATTAATTACATCTGATAAAAAGTTCTAACTTAGCTCTGGAACATATGAGACATCATTCAAAATAAATTTATTAGTTTCCACTAAACCTACTTTCTTATTTATAATATACTGAGACATTTTAGGTGAAGAAATTGCTAAAGTAAACATTTTACAATCTATTAATAATTATTTATTATTAACCATGTGAAATGATGAATCTGAATCAACTATCCAATTAACCTGTTTGTATCATTATTGTTTCTTCTATTAACATTTAAAAATAATGCTTGTTGATTATTAGCATTAACTTTTATTTTCATCATTATAATTTTCTTACATATTTTACAAAACTGTGCTTTTGAAGAGAATTCTTTTCGACAAAAATCAGCTACACATCCATTTTTGTTAAATTTGAAACACCTCTTCTCAGCTGAGCTGATCTTGTTTTATAAACAAAAATAAGAAATATAGCCAACATATTTACAATTAAAAACAGTCTTTTTTTTAAGCATTAAATTTAATTAAATTTATTTTCATATCATCTGCTTCAATTCTAGTTTCTGCACTCAATCTAGCTATTAAATTTGTTAATATCTAGCCATTAATTGTCACTGATTCATTCCCAACACTAATGAAATATTTAGATGATAAAGTTACCAATTAAAAATTATCTTTTCATCAATTCGTTCTTTAAAAGAGTTTAACCTATATGTTGGTTTTCTATTTTAGTACAATCAAAAGTCTTTAATCCGGACTCGTCGGGACTTCAGCGATTCCGGATTATCGGCTTTTCCGGATTATAGATCATCAGTTTAAATCTGGTAAGATGGCATGCAGAAATTATAAAATTAAAAATATGAAACCATAATTTATGAAATAAGGAGCAATTATGATCTAAAGGGTATCAAAATTTACAAAAAAAAAGCTCCATATTTATTTGTTTACTTTATTAAACATTTCTTTCAACGTGCGCATGCGTAAAGCATACATTACACATAGTCGAAATTAGAAAATTGCAACCAGAAAACTATTTGATGTGTATTCGTGATGTTTATAATGATGAGGAATTTGATTTAAATCATATCAAAGACGGAGTACATCGAGATGAAATACTACATTTAGTAAGGAATTATAAGCCAAATAAAATAAAAACATCTGCCTTGAAGATAAGGATAGAGCTGACAGATCAACTTCCAGTTCATTTTGTGCGCCGTGACGTCCCCCCCCCCCACAGAGCAGCATGAAGTTGATAAACAGATTTTGGAATGGTTAGAGAACCAAAGGATATGCCTTTATCCATTTTTTGCAGCAATTCCACTTTTTGTTTGATGGACATCGAAACATGCTTTCGCTTCATAGATCCTTTGGCAGCTCCAGAATTGGAAATTCTTTTTGACATAATCGAAAGTTCAAGCTTACTTTTATAAAATTGCTCTAACAGTCTGCAAAAAATAATAAGTTGGATTTAATTAGAAGATTAAGGAACAACGCAATCTGCAACAACTGAAATAGATACAAAAACTTTGCCCATAAAAAAAATCCCAGCTGAGAGAAATGTATTCCGCAAACATATTTCAAATAACAGTTTTTAATGGCACTCTTTCATTAATTTTTTAAACTAACATTCGTATTTTTGAGGAATGAACATCTTTTAAATAATACCCTTATTATAACTTTTTTTAATACTTTGCATTTGTCAAATCATTTGTCTTTATCATTTGTCATTCTATAGAATGCATAAGGAAAGTATGTAATAATTCTTATATTTCATACTTTGCCTAAAAACGTCTAGCATTCTTTCATGCTTTGCCAGTAACATATATACAAAATTCAATTAACATTGAGGAGCTAAAATTTTGATAGCTAATTTTTTAAAAACTACTCATGCAATTTTTACAAAACTTGGCACTTTGTCATAATTTGAGTCATAGAATCAAAATACAGAAAAGAATTGGCATGTCAATTTACAAAAAGTCTCATTTTGTGTCAAAATACCTATATTAGAACAATGCTATATATAAATCTAACTCGTATCCTAAGTTGCACTTTTGGGACATGAAAAACCAAGTTGAATTTCGTCAATCGGCCCAGTAGAATGGGTAATATAGAACTGTCCCTTTTTTATGAGCAGTGAACCTTAGAAGCAAATGAGTTCTTTGATACAAAAGAAAAAATATATATATTTCTATTAAAATTAAAACAATGTATTTGCTTAATGTTATACCCATCCTAACATTCCAATATTTTATTTCTTTCTCGATTAGATTACAGCAGCGGGCAGAGCTGGTTTCACGTGCCACTGTAACAGTGCAGCAGTTTGCATGTTACTTTATTACAGAGTTGTGGTGTATAAAATATATTTATACAGCCAAAATTGTGAGGTAAAGTTTGAAATTTTATAAAGAATACATTAAGTTTTACCTCATCAAAATCTTTGTTATGAGCTTCCCAATACTGTTGATGCCAATCCTGAGTTTCTTTGCATTTATCATAAAAGTATCGTTCTTCATCTGTCAGGCCCTGTGAGCTGGGAAAGATTCTTAGCCTTAAATTGGATACAGGATGAGCAGGTCCAACCCAAGCATGTTCATTTTTTTCTGACTGTGACTTTAATTCTGGATTTACATTGCCAGGAATTTGCTAGAAAACAAATTTATCTTTCATAATACGAAAGCATGTACATAAGGTTAAAAAAAGGAATCCATTGCAAAGAAATTAGCATATAACCCTCAATATATTTATCATCACACATTGATAATTTCTTAATAATATAAAAATTTCTAAACACAGATATAGCTAAAATCTTGTCTATTATCATATTATCAGAAGCAAGAGACCATATGGACATCATCCACACATACATAACAGAAATCTTCAGATCTGGAAGTGCTGGCTTACTATGAAGATTTCAAGCAGTTTAGATCTTTAATTATAAAGAATAAATATCTAACAGGAGAGCAGTATTTTCTACCCACTAATATGCAGTAAGGAGTTTTTCTTTACTAATAAAGCATGCACATTAAATATTCTACAATAATATCATAAAGCACATTTTGTAAATGTAATTATTTCATGATTTACAACTTCCAGTTTTACAGAACACTTTTGCCCCAAATTCAAGGTTTATTGCACTTCAGACAATGCAAAACTTCTGATTAAATACAATTTCTACAATCTTTAATTTGGAAAAAATCCTTGTAGAATACAGGTTAGTGAAACAAAAGTAAAGTTTAAAAAGAGATATTAGTTTTTACATCATTGTGAGCATAGAATTCTAGGATAGTCTATATTTTGGGGTACCCCTTGGATTATTGCCAAGTTGTTTCATTTATGGTAACCTAAGTATTTTATAATGCATGTTTTGGAAACCCCTACCATTATGTGATTGGTCATAAAGCATGGTAGAGCTGATTTTGGATCTGGGAGAATATTTCTCAGGGCTTATTCCTACATGGGATGTCGGCTAGGAAGTACATTGCTTATTTTGTACTTTACATCATAAAATGGCTGCCAATGGTAAGATAAACTAAAGTTTCTGTACAATTTAAAATGAATGGGAAAGAAAGCATCAATTAACTGGTGTGTAAATGGCTTTGCTCATGTCTCAGAAAATCACACCGTGACATTTCAGGACCCGGAAACTGAAGATCATATTAACGCTATTAGAGGTAAGTGGGATATAAAAAGGGATTTGGGAAAGAAATGCCACTGACAGTCCAGTACTACAGAGATTATTTTTAATGGTTACTTTTGTGGATTTATGTGGCGATTACAGTATACAGATTCTAGTTCAGATAATTTTAAACAGTTTTCGGATGCTGTTAAGGAATTCTGTGTACCACACATTGAAGACACAGAAATTTCTATATAAGGCAAGTCGATATTTCCTTTTTGTACTACACAGAGGAGATAACACATATTTCCATTTTAATGTTATTTCCTTGTTTTATTTCGATTTGAAATGCAGTTTATTGAGGTTATAATTTTTTATGTTTTACTTACATTTTATTGCATTATGTTTTGGATGCAATTTTTACTTGGCATTGCAAGTAAACAGGAATGGTATTAAAAAAATCGCCAATTTTCGCCAAGGGGAACCCTGAAATATATTTTCCCCGAATTCTGCATTATCTTTTTAAATCGTTTAGTTAGCAGCTTGTTAAATGTTCCATTACTGTTACACACATTTTCTACATTATTTGCTACACATGGTTATAGTAGGATAACGAGAACTAATAGGTAAATGCCATAAAAGTACTATGCCAGATATTTACCATCATCTGTGATACATACTGTTTGCATTAAACAATGAAAATTTTGAAAAAATAAAAACTTTCCATTTATTTATAAAAAGAAGAAAGAATTAATGAAGGAAAAAGAAATATATATCATTTAGTTTTTTAAACCAACAGTTCAGCTATTTTTCTCTTAGAATTTTTGCAATTCCCAAGAAAAATTTTATGTTTGCTAGAATAAATAAAAAATATATATATATAACTTACTTTAACCTACAGTGGATGGACAAAAATATGGAAACACCTTGTGAAATGCATGTTTGAAAAGAAAGATTAATTATAATGAAATATGTAGGTGGTGCTGGCGTTTTTGACTACTGACGCCACCTATACAACTTCATAAATGTGCTAAACAGTTCAGTTGTTGTCAGAGTACTGTTATGTGAGGTTGTCATTGCATTATGTCAGAGTTAACAGACTTCGAACGTGGGCAAATTGTTGGAGCACGTATGGTAGGTGCTTCTGTAAGCAAGGTAGCCGAGGTGTTTAGTGTTTCAAGAGGTACTGTATCGAAGATTTATTCTGCATATTTGAAAAGCGGAAAAACATCATCTGCTAAATCACAGTGCAGACGAAAGTGTGTCCTGAGTGATTGTGACAGACGATTATTAAGGGCAATTGTGACGAAAAATAAGAAGACCACAGCTGCAAAAGTTACTGCTGAAATGAATGTTGTGTTACCGAACCATGTGAGTACCAAAACAATTAGAAGGGAGCTTCATAAACAGGGAATTGCTGGCCGTGCTGCAATTGAGAAGCCACTCATCAGTGATGCTAATGCCCATAACAGGAAAAGCTGGTGTTTAAGTCATAAAGCCTGGACTATAGAGCAGTGGAAGCGAGTAATATGGTCTGACGAGTCTTCTTTCACATTGTTTCCCACTTCTGGCCGAGTTTACATCTGGAGAACGCCATCTCAAGCCTATAATACAGACTGCTTGTTGCCAAGAGTGAAACATGGCGGGGGTTCTGTTATGGTTTGGGCAGCCATATTGTGGTTCTCTGCTAGCCCCATGATAACTGTGTCAGGGCACATGACTAGACTTATGTGACCAAGACTTATGTGAACACTTTGGCCAATCAAGTTCATCCCATGGTACAAACTTTGTTCCCCGATGGTGATGGTGTCTTCCAAGACAACAAAGCCCCTGTTCACACAGCTCACATTGTCCAGGACTGGTTTTCTGAGTACGAGGATGAGTTGTCCCATCTCCCCTGGCCACCACAGTCACCAGACCTGAATATTATCGAACCTTTGTGGTCTACAGTGGAACGGAAAGTGCGTTCTCGTTATCCACCGCCAACATCGTTATCTGAACTTGCCACCGTTTAGCAGGAAGAATGGTATAATATTCCCTTGGCAAACATACAGGAACTGTATTTATCCATTCCGAGAAGACTGCAAGCTGTTTTGGATGCCAACGGGTTTCCTACACTATATTAAGCAAAGAAACATGTTTTTTTAAAGGTGTTTCCATATTTTAGTCCAACCCCTGTATGTTAACAAAGTAGCTCCTAAACCTTTAACTTATCCTTTCCAAGTTTAAAAATTTTCCAGGTGTTTTACAAGAAAAGCCTGTCACAACTGGCCTTTCATAACATTTGCACTGCAATGCCCCATTATGTTTTTTTACCACAATTTCCCATTTAAAGGCAAGGTATTTAAAATACCTCCTTTATTCATTAGTGTTATTTAACATTATTCCTTGAATTAGCATGATATTTAGGCATAAAAAATCAACAAAAAAAAACATTAAGTTTTGGAATAATGGCTGAATTTTTATCATTAAATGTTTGAAAATTTTTATGACCCAATATGTTATTGAAGCACTATACATATCTTATCCTTTTTAATGATAAATTCTTTTAGAAATCAAGAACCTTTCATTTCAGATATTTGCCTGAGTTGTACAAACTTTATTTAGTTTTAAATATATATAAAGGTACCCCTTGTATTATCACGAAGTTGTTTCATTTATCGCCAAGTAGTGGTTTATTTATGGGTAGCTAGAGTAGTTGAATGTTATGGAAACCCTATTACGAATCCTATTGGGTGAATTTGTAAGCACTTGTTGTGTTTGTTGGTTAGAAGGTACATTGCTTGTTTTCTGGTTTAGACGGTAAAATGGTAAGATTAATTGAATGTGGTAAGATTAATTTGAAGTTTCTGTACGATTTGGAAAGAAAGGAGAAAAGAGCATTACTTGACTGGTGTGTAAATGAAGGTTTACTTAGTAACCATTATTAAGTGTCCTTTTTGTAGGAAGGAAATGCGTATGGTCGGACAATACAGCGCTAGGGAGGATACGTTTGTCTCTTACTTTTATGTGGCAATGCCAGTATACAGATTCTAGTTCAGATAATTTTAGGAAGTTTTTCGATGAAGTTAAGGAATTTTGTATGACTGAAGACGTGTTAATTCATAAATAAGGTAAGTGGATATTTCCTTTGTATACTGCAAATATGTATTTCCTTTTTTAAGTTATTTCATTGTTTGACTTAAAATGTAGTTTATTGAGATTATATATTTTTTTTGTTGGCTGCTCCTTTACTTTTTAAGTGAATATAGTTCGATGTATACATGGACAAAGTTAAGGGAGTGCGCAATGCCTAGTTTGTGCAATTCTCTGATTTTTTTTAAGTGAAAATAGGTCGATGTGTACATGGATAAAGTCAAGGGAGTGAGCAATGCCACGTTTCTGCAATTCTGGGATGTTTTTTTAAGTGAAAATAGGTCGATGTGTACATGGATACGGAGTTTGTGCAATTCTTTGTCTTGTTATTTTGGTTTTGTATAGTGTCTAACCAAATAAAGATTTTGTTACAAAAATTGCCGCTACACAAGCCAAAGTACAAGTCAAAGAATTGCACAAACTCGGTATCCATGTACCGCCCAAAAATCGCCAAGGGCCGGTTATCTGAAAACTGCCCCTACAGCGTAATCATCTGAAGCACAGAGTATAAAACCCATTACTTCCTATTTCACCCTGCGGCCCTTCATATTCGGCGCTTAAGTAGCAGTCATAATGGAAAAGTCTGTTACCTATGACAGCGATTTTATCAAACAATTGCGGTTTCTTTTGATAAATCATCAGGAAATGAAAGAACAATCAAATAACTTCACGCTAAAAGCCGGTATGATGAAAGCAAAGTAGATGTATAATTTTTGACCGTACAATCACTTTCTAATTAAAGCTGAAAATTTAACAAGATATCACAAAAATATCGTTTTGGGCATAGAATCACTGAAAAAATACAACAAAAGAGACAACAACTTACACAATTACGATTTTGTAAGCAGCTAGTCCATCTATAATGCCTGTTAAAATTTTGATTATAAACACTTGTGCTATTTTTCAATAAGCTCTTTGAAATGTGAATAATATTAGGCATTGAAAAAATACTACCCTTCAGTTTTATAAGCATAGTGATAAATCTATGCTGACTAATTCACGATTTACCTTGGCATGTTCACCTTCATGTTTACATTTTACATTTCGTACTTCGAAGCAGCAGTGGTAGTAACAAATTGTGCAGGTCTCCTTGGAGTTCTTGAAACTTTTTTGAGGCTGGTCATCCTATTAGCTTCTTGTCTTTCGAAATAGAAAGCCAACTGATGTGAATTTTTTTACATGTCAGTCTAAATTGGTTATAACCTATAACCAGTATACAAAGACAACAGAGTCAGCAGATAGATTTTCCTATCTCAATCTAAATTGGTTATAACCTATAACCAGTGTACAAAGACAACAGAGTCAGCAGATAGTTTTTCCTATCTCTTCTTGGGCCATGTAGAAGTTTATGTATGAAAAAAACTATTATTTAATAAATAATATTTGCTTTTAGAAATGAGGTGTTCTAGAATCATTTAAAGAAAATTTGAAATTAACATAGTATGCCACACCTCAAACTGAAGGACAGGGTGTTATGATTATGCAGTGAGGTCAGTAAAATTGGTTTAAAAAAATCTCTTAGAAGTTATTGAAGCTCTGTATTCTGTATGATCTATTAGGGAAGCAAAACTGCCCATTTTCGGTGATCTTATACATGATTAGGAGAAACTATGGGAGAACTTTGGGGGTTTAGAAGGAGCGAGCTCAGATTATAATCAGGCTTTGGTTACAAGAGTATATTGATCTCATCAGAGATAGATCAATGTTTCATGCTGAATTTTAACTACTTTTTCTAATTAGAATCATGAAAATATTAATAGAGTAATATCTACTCGTGTTAATTTTCTTTCGCTTTCAGGGAATAAATTTCATACTTAATACTATTTTTGACCTCATTTAATTATATAGTTCATTAACTTTTATTACTTTATAAAATATCTATTTATATGTGGTATTTTAAATTTGAAATTAACATAGTAGTGTAAGAAACAGAAAGAAAGTATAAGAAATAGACTTACGCTTGATTCATGACATTCTTTTCAATGGATGTATTTCTGAGTATGATAAAATTTATTTTCGAAATCCAAAACAAAACAGTGCATAGTAAGTAATACCTAAAATTACATAATAAACAGTACACAGGAAGAAAATTTTATGTATACCTTTACATCTTCATCCACCTTTTCATCCTCTTAGATTTGCTTTTCAGGGAATAATTTCCAGCAATTTTTGGAAGGTAATCCTGAAAATTTACTGCTATTTCTTCTTTACAGCAAATATAGGCAATTCATTGATTGTGAACAAACCATGCGATTGCTTCTTAACTTTCCCCTCAAAATACGAAAGTTGGGCTGCGATTTGGATTTTGTAAATATTGTGTAGCAGTGTTTTCCCCACTCATTGAATAGTATAGTTGTATACTATTATTTATCAAAGGAAATATTGTAATCCTGATTTAATAAATTGAGCTGTTTTCTAAATTTTGTTAGTATAGAATCTTGAGAATATTTTCATAAACCTGAGAATCAATATTTTGTGCTAAAAAAAATCTAGAGAAACAGTCCATGCAGGGACTATTAGGTCTTACAAAAGAAACAATTTCGAAAATTCAACCTTGTTCTAACCAGATCTGGACTTACGAAGAATAAAAAGGGTTAAACCGAACCGAAGACTCTTGACTGATCTTCCACTTGCATGGCATCTCAAGACAATGTGCCATAACATTCCATATGACACATTTTGAGGTAGCTGATTTTGGTTTATTCCACAAAATAAATGCATTTATTTATAGCGCAGTTCATGTATCACAAATACCTTTCTAGAATTTCCATTCCAAAGAGACATTCTACTACTTTTCACCAGATAATGGACTATAATTACTACGGATCCTAATTTTTCATTTCTAAAGGGTGACTCAATACTTTCATTACACAGTTGGTTTAATAAAGAATTAATAGAACATAGATATAGAAAATTGCATATGAAAACTAGAAATAATAATTATTTTACATTTCAGTTTTTAAACTAAAATAGAGCACTAAATTAGTTTAGGGGCCATGTTTTTCAAGCGTCAGATGTAAGGACCTTTAGTTTTACTAACGTAATTTTATTTTAAAACTTTACTATCATCTCTTATTTTCCAATTCCGGCCAGAAAAAACGCGTTAAATTGTTTATGCAAATTGTACTTGCTAACTCTCAACAATTTAAGTTGTGGTTTTTTGCCAAGAGCAGAGTTAGATAGGGAGAGACTGAGCCTTCTTGCCACCATACCTCACGCGAGCTTGCAATCAGTTGCTGTCCGCCTTTAAGGCCAGAGGTTTTAGTCCTCTTGAAAGCTAAAGATGTTTTGTAGTTTTCCGCAGTTTGCGTACTACATACGTAGTAATTTAAGAGACCAGTCTTAGTGTTAGTCATTTGTGTAGAGTTTTCAAAGTTAACTCTTATTTTTAGTTAGTTAGTAGTTTGCATACTTTTACGTTCAGACCACAAATGGTAGGTCTTTGTATCCCGAAGTGCGGAATCACCACATTTAAGGTTTGAAGGACCATATTTGATTGAAAAAGTAACCCAGGCTGTAGTGGTTTTAAAAGCCAAGAATTGTGAAACGTTTACGGCAAATATCGAGCAAATCAAGTCGTATTACAATCGAAATAAAATGAAAATTTTTCAAGATCTTTTGCAGGATCCGGCACGGCAGGCACCATCTCAAGACATGGCACAACAACAACGACCTCCAGAGCCATCTACAAGTAATGATATAGGCAAGAAAAGAAAAGCCCCGAGGAAAGACCGGAGGTAGCAAGAAAAGGAAGATATTCACCCGATCAGAAAAGAGAGGGCACGACCGGCTCCAACAGGAGGAAGAGCAAAATTCTAACAGTACGAAGCAGGCAAGAAAAAATGGCTGCAGTCATAGTACCTGTGAGAAAAGAAAGAGTGAACCGTCGGAAAGGACTCTACGCAGTAAGTGTCCACGAAATCGACCCGAGAAAGCCAGCTGTAGACTCAAGGCAGCAACGAAAGTTCGAACAGCGAGCAAGCAGAACCTGGCAACTACCGGCTAGAGATGTCCCGATGCCTCCAAGAACAGCACCCGTCAAGCAACCAGGAAAACAACCATGTAACAAGAAATAGCTTTTCAAGGGCCATCAAGCATGTCCAAAAAGAAAATGGAGGGAGGAGGAAACTAATGGTCAGGTCCAGACCAAGGCATCGAATCAACCAAAACATGGTATTCGCTACCTTCCAGGAGTCCAGGAGTGGCCGGCTAAACGGATGTCCGAATATCACAAAGATAAGTAAAACTTTAAGTTGAAACTTTAAGCTAATTTTTTCGTTCTTACTGCAAGTGGCAGAATTTAAGGATAAATTTTACCTCATGGGAAGTCTATCTTTATTGCCAAAAGGGCAAGAAATGAGTTTTACCTATTTTTTAATATGTTTTTCAACTACTCGTGAGTAATTATTGTATAATAGTAATGTGTAAGTACTTGAGTATTGTAAAAGCTTTTGTAACTGTGTAAGAAAAGTACTTAAGAACATTGTAAAAATATTCTATAAAGCTTTATTTAAAAGATTCTGTTAAGAAAAGACATTTTAGTCTGACAAACTTGTATAAAAGTGAAATGTAGTATTTAAATGTAAAAGAAACAAGCACTTCCTTTGAAGAAAAGAAATTTGACAAAACATTTTATTACCACACTGTATGTTTTGAAATGTGTACAATTAACGGCATGTAAATGTGTTCTTATATACATGTGAACTGTTCTTTAAAATTTTTGTGATATGTTAAAAGTGAAAATGCTGTATAAATGCCAAAGTTTAAAACTTAATAGTATGATTGAAAAAAGCGCTACGCCTTGTGAATATGTCCTAAATTTGGAATGAATGAATATAGTTAGGCCCTCTGACGCTACACTGCAGAGTTAGCCACTTGTTTAGAATAGTACCTCAGATGAATATGTGTTCTGAGGTCTTGTTATGTTGAATTTTACCACGTTAGTGTTTTGATTATAAGTGTTGAACACTTCTACATAGACAAGCCGTGTTTGGTGTTTCTCTCTTTACAACATATGTCAGAGAGTACGAGGAGATAATTAAATAATGGTATGAATGAAAAAAGAATAGAGTTTTAAAAGAATATATATAAACGTGTTCATGTTACTTGCAATTTAATTGCTTGACAAATTGATCAAACTAGTTTTCCTTCCAGATCTCTGGAAGGAACCAGATAAGAAATCAGAAATTCCTGTTTTTACGTGCAGTACAGATGAAGAATATTTGACATTTGTCCGTGGAGAATATGTTGTAAAACTACTTTTTATATAATTTCTAGGTTAGATAGTTTTAGCGAGGAGTTTTTGTAAAAGATAGGCCTCGCGTTAGACTTAGAATTTAGAATTAGAAGTTTTCAACAAGGTCGTTTAGACCTTATTTTTAAACTTCTTAATTCTGGCGGGAAGTATGTAAGGATATTAAGTTTTACTAACGTTTATTTTATTTTAAAACTTTACTATCATCTCTTATTTTACACTTCCGGCCAGAATAAACGCTATAAACTGTTTATACAAACTGTACTTGCTAACCCTTAAGTATTTGTGGCTTTTTGCCAAGAGCAATGTTAGATGGAGAGAGATTGAGCCTTCCTGCCACTATACTTCACGAGAGCTTGCAATCAGTCGCTGTTCGCCTTTAAGGCCAGAGGTTTTAGTCCTATTGAAAACTAAAGACGTATTGTTGTTTTCCGCAGTTTGCGTGCTACGTACAGTCGGCCACAAAAGTATTCGAACACCGGTACCCATTCAGAAAATTTACTTTTCCGTTGAGAAACAAAATTGCCTCCAGAGTCCATCTTGGTTCGATAGACAAAAAAAAAAAAAAAAAAAAAAGGATGGCTCATGTCCAAAATTGACTAGGTGCATGAAACAAAATACAACATGACCTATCTGGGTGAGATGGGAAACAAAATGGCTGCTCACGTAATCCATTATTGCGCTCATAGAAAACGCAAAGTGTCGCTGCGGCTCGTCTCGGTTCGCGAAGAGTGAAAACCCAAAACGGTCTGCAGTGTCTATCTTTGTTGAATGAGAAAACAAAAGGATGGCTCATGTCCAGTTT